GACATCAAATCTGGTAACATAACATTTTTATTGTAGTATCGAAGCAGAAAGAACTGAGATGGCCTGTAAAGTGACTTGAGTATGACGTCAGTGACTGTATATATAGTCTTCACTGGCTTTGTTTCATTCATTCTTACTTAATATAAAACTATCTTTTTTAATTTTTTTTCAATAAAAAAACTGTGATGCTTACATTTATGACAGTTATCGTTATCACTATGTCTGACTACTCAAAGTAGTCAAACTTAATAATGTATGATCAACAGTGAATTGAGTCCTCAAAAATCCTGCAAGTCTGCAATTTTTTCTCACCATGGGTTCTGCTGTCGTTCTTTCTTACCCCCTCCAACGACTTGCTTACAGCGAATAAGAAATTATTTATAAGCATATCTAAAAATAAATCAGAATAATTGTACAAGTAATTTAATTGTTCGAAGTAGACCTTATCGATGAGAACACTCGTAAAAAGTTTTTTACAAATTTATCACGTATAGAAAATATATTGGTGATTCTGTCGTAAGTGGTCAATTTCGTGTCCAGTGCTCATGCTACTTCAAGAAACTAAAATTGAATGTTCAAATTGTTTAAAGTTTTGTTGAAAGTTTTTAAGTTTCTTGGAAAAAACTTCCGAGCTTATACATTGACTCTTAAATGAGACAATTAAGCAAATATAGTCAAAATATCACTTCCGTTATACCCGGTCCCAATGTCAATTTCGCACTAAGAAGCTCNAAAAAAAAAAAAGTGCCATAGTCGGGAATCGAAGATTACCCGACTACAAGTCATGCGTTGGAAAAACAGTTAGCTCACTCGACCATCGAGAGACATACGGATCTAGAGTCAAAAGTAATATTTAAGTCGTGAGAAGTGGACGGAGCTTAAGTTGAAGACTAGGTAGGGGGCTCCCCTACTCCTACCTGTCTGGTGAGAGAGAGAGAGCATGGTTCTTCTGCGCTTGCGCTACTAGCCGAGAGCACCCAAGAGAAGTCTTGGGTATATCGCAACACTGGACACGACGGTAATAAATAATAAGGGGTTGCAAATAAGAATAAAGTAAATCTCCTTTAATTTGCATCGAAGAACATCAAGATATGAGAAATTAAGCAAAGTAAAAAATTTCAGTGCGCAGTAATTAGGTCATTTACCACTAGCTGCTTCTGATTGACAGGCTAACTGAAAGAGACTGCCGGAGGAAATCGTTTTTCTCATTCTAGCCTGCCAATTACAAGCAGCCACATGTTCAGAGGTATAAGGCCATTGTTTTCATGCAAGAACTTTTGTCAAATATCTGATACAGAGGGAGCAGCCGCTGCATCGGCTCAAAACAAATACAGATAGTTATCAGCGTTGGATAAGGCAGAATCAATATCGGAACTTTTTTCCTAGATCGTATATATAGCTACACGATCTAGGGAGTATGTTCCACCGAGTAGACGGCAGAGGAGGGGCATTGCCCAAAAACGGTATCAACAACGAGCAAAATTGAAAAATTTTTAAATTAACAACTCAAGCGCCTATCATCCAATGATCCAGGGCACTTACTGGCTATTCTATAAAATTATAAAATGTTGAATAATAACGCAAGCGCCTACTATCTAGTGACCCAGGGCGCTTACTGTTCACTTTATAAAATAGTAAAATGTTGAATAATAACACAAGCGCCTATCACCCAATGACCTAGGGCACTTACTGGCATTCTATAAAATTATAAAATGTTAATTAATAACACAAGCGTCTATCACCTAAAGACTTGGGGCTGCGCGATTCCGATTTCTGTGGCGCCGCAATCTGAGTGCGGTTTCTTGTGTATGTTGATGCTAGGAATACAGGAAAAATAATTTAAAAATTCCTACTTACCTCCTAATTGAGATATCGAACTCAAAAATCGAAAAAATCATATTTTGTATAAGGTAAAAGTACGTATTATGGATACAAATTTCGATTGCTACGTTTCATCGACCAATATTAAATAAAAAAATAGTCATATGTCCATAATTTTTGGTTTTAATAGAAGCGCTATACTCTTCTGAACAAATTGACATTTTTGAAATTAAATTTAGATGTAAAAAAATAATTTTATAAGCAAATATTGACACGATCAAAATGTCCATAACTATGGAATAGCTAAAAAGTTGTGTCCATATTTATGAGACACAAGTCCCAATTATGAAATTTACATGTTAATTAAATGGGCTCGTGCGTTTTATAAATAGGAACATCACATATTGCAGGTTATGTTTCAAACTGTCCGTATTATGAAAACCAGATTCGTAATAATATATTTTTCAATATAATAATGTTTGAAATTGTTTACTATTTTTGTTAATTTGATACGGTAGTATTATAGAGATTCTTCAGTATATTTTATTTTTATTATTAAAATTTTCATGATTATTTAATCTTGAGTTTTCATAATAGGGACATGTTTCACGAATAGGTACTTTTACCTTACATGCGATATTAGGGTTATTTCTTGCTCATTTGAGAGTAATGAATATGAAAAACTAATTAAATCAATTATACTTGCTTTTTTTCGAGATGCTGCTTCTCGATTGTCGAAAAACACATTTTAAATATATTTTATTTTAATATAAAAACACTTGATAAATAAATATTATTTATTGATTTAAAAACGATGAAATTTATGGTAATTTTACCATCGCTTCCCGGCAAGCTGACACAGATCAAAGTGTATTATCTGTCCTCATCAACTTGGTATCTTGGTACGCTCTTCATGAAAGGGCTGTTCAAAATTCAAATTCTCGCTCTCTTCATCAAGCGTGCAGCGCCTCTATCGGTCACTGTTTTTTTTAGCGCGTAAGCATTTTTAATATAAAAGCTCAGTGCTCAGTGTTATAGATAAATCCTGTAACATCTCCAAGTATTTACTGTTTATTGTTCTAGGGGTCGTTCGGTGCGTGTAACAATGTCAAAACATCCGCAGTTACATCCAAAGTTAGCCAACTTTTCATTTTTCTGCTCTTTCAATGACTTGTTGCTATTTTTTTTAATTGATATTTTTATCATGCTTTACGCGAAAAAAAACACACCTGAAATGTGTTCAACGGAGGAATACACATTAAAAATGAAGCAAAATAAAAAAATACATAGCTAGAGATTTTTTTAGTATTTTTTTCATATTCATCACTATCAAATAAGCAAGAAATAACCCTAAAATCGCATGTATACAAAATATAATTTTTTCGACTTTTGAGTTTGATATCTCGAAAAGGAGGTAAGTAGGAATTTTTTAATTATTTTTCCTATATTCCTGGAATCAACATACATAAGAAGCCACACTCAGATTGCGGCGCCACAGAAATCAGAATCTCCCCCTTGGGGCGTTTGCTGCCCACACTATTAAATATTAAAATGTTAATTAATAACACAAGCGCCTATCACCCAGTGACCGGGGCGCTAATTGGCCGCTTCATTATATAATAAAATGTTGAATAATAAATCAAGTTCTGATCACCTGATAAAGAAGGGCGGTGATTGTGTTATTAATTAACATTTTCTCATTTAATAGGGCAGCCAATAAGCGCCCCGGGTCATTGGGTCATAGGTGCTTGTGTTATTATTCAATATCTTATAATTTTATAGAATGGCCAGTAAGCGCCTAGTCATTAGGTGATAGGTGCTTGGGTTTTTATTTAACATCATATTATTTAATAGGGTGGCCAGTAAATGCCCTGGATCGTTGGGTGATAGGTGCTTGTGATATGACTCAACATTTTATTATTTTATAGAGTGGGTAGTAAGCACCCCGGGTCATCAGGTGTTAGGCGTTAGTGTTATTAATTTTAAAAGTTTGAAATTTTGCGCGTTGTTGGTACCGTCTTTGGGTAATGCCCCTTCACTGCTGTCTGCTCGGTGGATTATTCTCCCTAGATCGTATAACTATATATACGAGCGCGCGGTGGCTAGGTCGGCTAGGTCGTGGATTGGCACGCGGGAGACCGTGGTTCAATTCCCGGCCAGTGCGACTTTTCGGGCAAGTACCTCTGTGATTGTTCACATGTGCTTTTTCACCACGCAATGCTCCTCGAGGAGGGCTTAGGCGATCTTCTCGCAGCAAAAACTACCTAATTCCCCCTACCCCCCTCCCAGTAATGGCATCCCTTTCCTTGTCCCTTTCCCAAGTGCTAAGTGCCCATAGAAGTGCCCTTATTAAAGGAGCCGGACGTAGAGCACTCTAATATAAAAAAAAAAAACCATATATAGGATCTGGGGAAAAAGTTCTGATATTGAGTCTGCCTAACCCAACGCTGATAATTATAAGTGTAGTCAAATACTCAGCAAATCTTGGCACAAGACTCCTAAAAAATCTGTGAAGTTTGAGTACATGAAATCTACAGATTTGTAGCAATCCTAGAACAGGTGACACAAAAGGATATTTTTCCGTGTTAAATATTTGATTAATTGAATAATGTCGTTTTTTGTTGAAGTTGACAATTTTAGAAATTCAGTTATATCTGTAACTTCTCTTGTAGCTGACAAATAAATTTTAATGTCTGTTTACTGCAGTTTATCCTATACTTCTGTTTTGTTTACCTATGAAAATTTTTATTCGGACATTATATTATATATTATATATTTTTCAGCAAAATCCTTGGTTAATAACAAAATTTATAGTAGTCAATTATTATCTGAATAATAACCCTGTACTCAAAATTTCAAAGGTGCTAGAAGACACATCATTTTACTGATCCACGATAATTAATTATAAAAGGTTGCTAGTTCCCTTACACAGTCGATTAGAAAAATTACCTAATTGAAATTATTACTCTAACGAACAACTAAAACATTTCATGGAATGACGATAAAAGCCTTTTTTCACTACCCAATGGCTTTTAACAGTAATTGATTATACCCAAGCCTATTGAGTATTTGTCTGAACAACAATTAAACGTACTACCTAGTTACACTTTCGCGTACTAAAAATTCTAACTAACAACATACCAAATTTCAAAAGATTATAGTATTCTTGTTTAACATACCTGTAAAGAACATCTAATGAGCTTTCATATTTTTCAAATGCTCTCCACAATGCATTTTTGCGTAGCTTACTGAACTCTGCTATACTATCAGAGTAATCTTTGTGATTACTGGTAGTAGGACACGTTGAGTTAATAACATTTTGCAATGGTTTAATGATGTCTACATCAGATGGTTTTTTTAATGGAACCGATATCAGTTCTGTCATAACTTAATCACAGAGTGATTTTGGGATAAGCGTTAAGACTTTCTTTTAATTGTTTAGTACTTCAAGAAGATAATTTAAGATTTCCAAAGTTCAGGTGGTCAATACTGATAACAATTTCTTTAAAAAATGAATTCTAGTAGAAACTGTAAATGGTGAAAATGATTAGATAGGGATATTCAATACCTGTAGTGTATGCTGAATTTACCTTTTCGTGTATAATTTAAACTAAGCCCAATTTCCAATAGTATGAAGGGATATTATCGAAGGATACAAATAATGTTAACACAATATTAGTTACTTTAAATTTTGCCGTTAAAATTGTATGCTACAGAGCAGTAAAATGATTTATATATTGGTACTGTTATGAAAGTCTATCGAACACCAACTGCAGATGGCGCTCAAGGCGGCTGTCAGCTGATGGGCTCGCTACCCGGTAAGGCACTGAAGTGCTAGGCGATGGTCAGGAAGTCCCCTGGAATCCTAAAAAGACCTTTCTCCGGAGTGTCCCAGTCCTCTGATAATCCTGGTACAACCATAGAGATAATATAATAGAGGAAGCGAACTGTATATTCTTCTGTAAGTGGAAGCGTACGGTCAGTAGACAGAGGAAGATGACTGTTTTGGTCTTGCATCTCTCTCTGCTCTCTGCATTGTTTGGCTGCTGCTTGACAGTGTATATAGTAGTAGTTGTAGTAGAGATGTAGGTATATATGTGGGATGCATTGTTCTACACAGCCGAAGCTGTGCTTCCACAAGAAAAGGAGCACGAGGGGAAATAAGCACACGCAACAGATTTTATTATGAGAATACAAAAGACTTTATTTCATTATGTACAATCGGACTTTTCCGCTCTGCTCACGTCGAGAGCTCTAAGTAGAAGAAATTCTCCCTCAGCTGTAGGGCACCGGCGGTGGGTGTGTGAGTTGGCTCGCGCGTGCGCAGGAAAAGATGTTCCTTGGGACGATGGCCTGCTTTCGTCTTGAGCACGAAACTGGTCGCTGTGGCTGAGACGCCACATCCACTCCCTCCCCAGTGACCGGCGTAAGAGCCGGGAACGAGACATGGCGAGTTGCTGAAGACTGTGCGGCTTGGATAGTTGGGGTGGACGTCGGTTGCGGCGACGGCTGATCAGCGGCGCTGGGCGCTTCCGGCTGAGCTGCGGTGTTGGGTGCAGGCGGCAGGGGTTGCGGTGACGGCTGAGCAGCTGTGCTTGGCGCTGTGGGCTGCTCGAGGAAGGAGTCAGCTTGTTCCATGTATGCCGGCTTGAGCGTGTCCGTGGACACCACCTCTTCTTTGCCGTTGGTGTCGAGGACGTAGTTGCGCTTATCGAGACGGCGAATAACGCGATGTGGGCCGGTGTAGGGTGGTTCCAGCGGCTTTCGGATTCTGTCGACACGCTTGAAGACATGCGAGCAGGTTGACAGATCTTTGAAGCAGAACGGGTGCTGGGCTGAGTGATTCGAGGCAGGCACTGGTCTGATGGCTCTGAGGAGTTGTCGCAAGCTCCGCGCGAACGTAGACTGGTTGGCCTGGACTGACTCGGTGGTGAAGAACTCCCCTGGGATTCTGGGTGAGAATCCAAGGAGCATTTCCGCTGGAGAGGCTTGCAGGTCCTCTTTGTATGCTGTGCGGAGTCCCAGGAGCACAGTCGGGAGGCAGTCTAGCCAAGACTGCGGGCAGCAGCGCAGGGCTGCTTTGAGGGTCCTGTGGAACCTCTCCACCATGCCATTGGACTGTGGGTGGTACGAGGTTGTGTGGCACAGCTTTGTGCCGATTATCTGGGCCAGTTCCTTGAAGAGGCTCGACTCAAATTGGGCACCACGGTCTGAGGTGATGAGGAGCGGGGTTCCGAAGAAGCTGATCCAGTGATCGAAAAAGGCTTTGGCGATGGTGGGTGCCTGGATGTTGGACAGCGGGATCGCTTGCGGCCAGCGAGTAAACCGATCAATGATCGTAAGGCAGTACTGCATGCCTGCGACTAGAGGCATCTTGATGATGTCTATGTGGACATGTTCCAGGCGGTTGTCGGGCTCGGTGAATCTGCCTAGCGCTGATCGGTTGTGGCGACTAATTTTGGAGTGCTGGCAGGCTTCGCAAGTTTTAGCCCAGGCTAAGGCGTTTTTGCGTACTCCTGGCCAGACAAACTTCTGACTCAGGGTGCGGGCCGTGGCTTTGCCGCTGGGGTGTGCGAGAGCGTGCACAACGTCGAAGGCTGTGCGCCGGAGAGACGCCGGTAGGTACGGCCGCACCACGCCTTGCGTGATGTCTCCATAGACGTAGTGGCCCTCAATGTTGAGCTGTTGGAGTACCAGGTTGTTCGTTGGGTTGCCTATCAGGTCGAGGAGCTCTGCATCGTGCGCCTGCTCTTGGGCGATGACGGCTGGGCTGAGGATCGAGGGCATTGCGATGGTGGCGACTGGTGTCTGCAGCTGAGTCGTTGGGGCGACGTCGGTGGTCGCTACTTCGATTGGTTTCGCAGCTAGTGTTGAAGCTTCAGGGGGCGGTGTCTCGGGGTCGTCTCGCGGCCGGGAGAGGGCATCAGCCACGACATTGTCTTCACCTTTAGCGTAGACCAGGCGTGAGTTAAACCTGAGAATATATTCAAGGTAGCGCGCTTGTCTAGGTGAAGCCTTGGTTGCTGGTTGAAAGGCAGCGAAGGTGATGGGCCGGTGATCCGTGAAGATGGTGAATGGGCGGCCTTCTAGTATTCTCTCGAAATGTTTAACAGAGGCGTAGATTGCTAGGAGCTCTCTGTCGTACGTGCTGTACCTGGCCTGCGTGGGGTCTAGCTTGTGTGAGAAGAATCCCAGAGGGCGCCACGACTCATCCGGTTGAAGCTGCTCCAAAGCCGCGCCGATGGCTGTGCTCGAGGCGTCCGTGCGGAGCGCCAAGGGGGCGTCTGGGGCCAGGAATGTTGTGCAAGCGGCGTCAATGACGCTGGCCTTGCATTTGTCGAACGCCTGGGATGCTGGTGTGGTCCATTTGAGCTTAGCTTTTTTGGGCAGGCCCTTGAGCAGCTCGTTGAGAGGCGCCTGCAGTTCCGCGGCGTGGGGGACACACCTGCGGTAGTAATTTATTACTCCCAGGAACCGTCGAAGTTCGGACGCTGTGGTTGGCTTGGGAAAAACTTTGATGGCTTCTACCTTCGCTGTTGGTGGCCGGCAACCTTCTGACGAAACCTGGTAGCCCAGGTAGATGACCTGAGGTTTGCCGAAGGTGCATTTCGCCAGGTTTACCTTGAAGCCTGCTTGCTTCAAGACGGTGAACAGCTGGCGGAGGTGCTGAAGGTGCTCCTCGTGCGTCTGTGACGCGACGAGGATGTCGTCGATGTAGGCCTTAACGAAGGGAAGCTTGCGCAGCAGCTGGTCCATCGTGCGCTGCATTGTTTGCGCGGCGTTTCTGAGGCCAAGTGATGTGCCGAGGAACTCGAAGAGGCCGAAGGGTGTCGTGACGGCCGTCTTCTTTACGTCTCCGCTGGCGATGGGTACCTGGTAAAAAGCTTTGTGTAGGTCGATGACCGTAAAAACCTGACCTTGGCTCTCTTGTAGCATGTCCTCGATGATTGGGAGGGGGTACCTGTCTGGTACTGTTATGCTGTTGAGGCGGCGATAGTCGCCGGTGACGCGCCAGGAGTTGTTGGCCTTGGGCACGAAACTGGTCGCTGTGGCTGAGACGCCACATATATATAGAATTAGAGGCAGAAGAGGGCATTTGAAATAGCCAATCAGGATAAGAGCAGAGAGAAATGCAAGACCAACACTATCTTCTTTCTCTGTCTACACGGAAGATTGTTGCTACCAGAATAAGCTATACCAAAAGTGATGAGCATAGAAAAATAACGTACAGGTCTTGAGTCTTGAGATTTCTGCAATCGGTACAGGATTTTTCTGTACCATGGATAGTCTATTAAATTTGTATACTGCGCATGGCTTTCTACTGTACCGTCTACCGCTCATAGTACGTGCGCTTATAATATACAGTGGAGATATGTATGTATATATATATGTGAATACTTGCATACATGTATTATACCTTAGCTTATTTCAAAAGGAAATACAGTGTTTTACTAGCAGTCGATTTGATGAGGTAGCGCAGAACTGAGCGTCGCAAGCTCTCCATGGCTCTTTGGATCCGAAATAAAACTGCCTTGAACTTTAAGGCTGCAGTCACATTGAACGCAATACAGCGAGCAGTATAGGAATTTCTCCATAAGCGGCTGTGTTAAGTCTATTGCGCTGCAATTCCTATCCTGCTCGCTCTATTGCGCTCCATGTGACTGCAGCCTAAGAGACTAAACTGGAACTGCCACTCTTCGTGGGGACTGTTCCTTTAATACGTAGTTGTAGTTTGTAGTCCTTGGATTGGCCCTCATCAAGTTGGCCTTAAAATGCTTCTCGTCTTCGAAAAGCGAAGGGTCGTGCTTCCCCACCTCTGGAAATCGGTGGGTCATGCCTCTCCGTCCCCGAGAAGCGCCCGTGGAAAAGCGTCTCCAAAAAGCGGCGGGTCGTGCTTCTCGTGCTCCCGAAAAGCGGCGGCTGAGGCACCCGTCTCTGAAAATTGAACGCCCAAGCTCGTCTCCAAAAAGCAAGCGCCCACGCCATCTCCGAAAGGCGGTAAGCTGAGTCGTCCGTCCTTGAGTGCTGTAATTAACTCTGGAAAACAAAATATTTCTCCCTAATTCTTTGACAGCATCTTATTATTTTGGAGTACTTTACCATTCATCATTATTATTATCAACTTTATTATCATTATTTTTACCACTATTGTCATTATTATCATGACTACTACTATTTTTGAGGAATACTAGGGGTCTGATCGAGGCATTCGATATCTCGCTTAAGTGAGCAGTTTTTTCTACAAAAACTAAACTACCCATGCGCAATATCGATATTTTTGGTTACTTCTTTCTTCATTGGCAATTCATTGGGAGTATCGAAAAAACTGCTTACTTAAGTGAGATATCGAATGCCCCGATCAGATCCCTACTCTTGCTTCCATTATTGTCGTAATGATTATGAGCCGGGGTTCAATCGGGGTATTCGATATATCGAGAGTAAGATGAAACGTGACGTAACCATAACCTATTTTGAATGCAGTTTAAGGTGATTGACGTCTTGATACCACTAAACTTTTTCGATATATTGCGATGTATCGCATACCCCGATTGAACCCCTGCCCGCCTACGTGAGATTCAAGCTATCGAGATGTGTATCGAGCTATTATGGGTCGAAAGGGTTAAATTTAGCAAAAAAAACTAGCTCCTAACAGTACATACCTTTAAATTTGTTATAGTGTTCTAACCTAAAAGGTGTGTACACTCGAGGCAGTTTAATTCGTTGAGCGGGAAGTGTAAAATTTAACAATTAAAGAGGTTACGTAATGGAATCAGCCAACGGAAATTCAAACA